CAAATATATATCCATAAGATAGCGTTAAATTCACAAATATAAAAATATCATCTTAGGAAGCCAGATTAATTATTGGTTAGCGCTTTTTTTATATTTGGGTGTAAATACATGTGAATAGCCTGAAATTTTTTTAAAAATGATTGGTTTCTTTGACATTTAATTAATGAGTAGGTTTAGAATCGAAAAATAATAGAAAACTTGTAAGGCACATATTGCTAGCGTTATTGATCAAAATCTCATTTTTGGTTTATACGTGTACATTTAGGTGTTAAGCATTATCCTAAAAAGTATTTTGAAAATATTATGATTTGACCGAATGCAGAGCTCAAAATCTTACTAAATATTCAATCCAAATTTGCTAGTAATATCAATTGCATTTTTGTTTTATATATATCTATATATACGTATAAAACAGTATTCCAAAAAATAATTTAAAAATATGGTGATTTGACCGATAACCTATTTGAAACCGGCCCAGTAACTAAATACTGCATTGCTGGCGTTATGCATGGAAAATATTTTACTTTGGGTTATGTGCATATTAACGTATTTTGAAAATATTATGATTTGACCGAATGCCGAGTCAAAACCGACCACTTACTAAATAATCGATCGACCAAATTTACTAGTAATATTAATTGAAAAATGTTCATTTTTGTTTTATATATCTATAAATACGTGTAAACCAATCAGATATTTTTAAAACAAAAATAATTTTAAATTTTAACGTCTAGTATTTAAAATTATTTATTTATTAATTTTTATTTTTTTGCGTACACATTCACTTTCAATTTTTTTTCTTTTTAGGAAAATGCCAAAAAATTTTTAAAAGATTTTTAATTTTAATGAAATTGTAAAATACCAGGCAGCATTTTCGACTAAGGGGGGGGGGATAATTTTTTTAATATTGAAATCATTTTATTTAGAGCATTAAAAATTTATTAGAACCAATAATATTTAGTAAGTGTTCGGTTTTGAGCTCGGCATTTGGTTTATCATAATATTTAATATTTTTTGGATAATGCTTAACAACGTATAAACCAAAAATAAAATATTTTCCATAGATAACGCCAGCAAAGCAATAGGTCGGTTTCAAATCGGTTATCGGTCAAATCACGATATTTTTAAATTATTTTTGGAATAATGTTTTCCATGTATTTCTAGATATATAAAAAAATGAACATTTTTCAATTAATATTACTAGCAAATTTGATCGATCGAATATTTAGTAAGTGGTCGGTTTTGTGCTCGGCATTCAGTCAAATCATAAAATTTTCAAAATATTTTTTAGGATAATGCTTTTAACACCTTCATATACACGTATAAACCAAAAATCAAATATTTTCCATACATAACGCCAGCAATGCAGTATTTAGTCATTGGGACGGTTTCAAATAGGTTATAGGTCAAATCACGATATTTTTAAATTATTTTTTGGAATACTGTTTTATACGTATTTATAGATATATATAAAACAAAAATGAACATTTTTTAATTGATATTACTAGCAAATTTGGATCGAATATTTAGTAAGATTTTGAGCTCGGCATTCGGTCAAATCATAATATTTTTAAAATACTTTTTAGGATAATGTTTAACACCTAAATGTACATGTATAAACCAAAAATATAGAGATTTTGATCAGTAACGCCAGCAATATGTGCGGGGCGGACAGGAGACTAAAGGCCGCGTAGGAGATTTCTAAGAAAGGCCCTATAGTTTGGGGTTTCGCCCTCAAACTCCCCTTATCGGGCCTACGGCCCGCTTTGACCAGGCCTGCGGCCGGGAATTATTAGATTTTATTTGAAATCTAATATGCAATTTTAAAAATTAAAATAATTTTCATCTTTTTAATATTTATGTATATGATCATTTTAAAAGAATTACTCGTCTTTTGAGTTGAATACATTATTTTTCATTAATTTATGAACTTTTGTGATTATTACTTATATTATTTCATTTATTTAATGGCTAGCAACAAGCCTATCCGTAATAAATAAATGATTTAAAATAATCTTCCCATATTTTTTTATATTAGGAATAATTTTATATCATAATTTTATTATTTCTTGTAATATATTTACTAAATCTTAATTGTTTTATATATATTTTTATTTTTTATTAATATGTAAGGCTGAGAAAAAAAATCAGTTAACAAAATATTTATAAAACAAAAAAATAAAATATTGATAAGAATTAAATAAAAGCTCTGGAATATTTTTATAATAAACGAAATCTAATAATATAAAAATGTAATATATTTAAAAAAAAAAGAAGTTACGCTGCTCAATATCGATAGCATTTGATTTTTCAATAACAGAATATATATGTTTAAAATTGGTGCACCCTTTTGAAAATGAATTTTTATAACCAGCAAAAGCTATACAAATTGAGCAGTAATAGCTATGGTTTTCAATTAATTATAGCAACTGAAAGCATATTTCGTGTTACTTTATCTTCCATAACTACTCTATAATACAAACGCGATGTAGTCTCAGGTCCACAGGTTGGATTGGATGTTGTTGTAAAAAGGCAAGTTTTTGTGGAATTGTTGCATTTGAATTTGAATGAAATAAATTTGACTTAATAGGTGAGATCTTTTTCTTTAAATTTGCTTCTTTTTGTGCATGAAAAGCCAAATATTTGACTAGAATTTAGTAGGTATTTGTAATGTAGATAAAGATGAAGTTTTCTTTAAAGTTAGAGATAGAATAGGATAATCATTTAAAGGAAATGATATTGGAATATTTGATAAAATTTTATCATGTAGTAAATAAGAAGCTGGAGTCTCTGAGTATGTTAAATATGCTATTTTTGTGGTTTGAGCATGAGAAAAATCAGATGTTATATTAGAACATGAACCAAAATTTATAATGTGTGAAGGTATGAACTAGAATGTCAGCGTTGTATTATCACCTTTTTTGGAGCATAAAGGGGAGTGACTCTGAAGAAGTTTCAAGATATGAAGATGTTTTTGATAAGTTTGTAGTTACTATATATTTTTATGCATGATAATATAAAAAAAATATATATTTTTAATATAAAATTAGAATTTATATTTAATAAAATAGCTATCAAGATTATCTATATATTTTTTCTTTATATTAATGATCTATGTCAGATAATGATGTTATGTTTGAATGATAAGATCATTAATAATCAATATATTTTAAGAAAGATTCCATTCTAGTTCAGAAAAATCCTTAAACATTTACATTGGATTATCTATGCGAAACAAATATGGCTCATTTTAGTTGAGAGGGCGTTAATACTTATACTTAGTTCTTGGTTAGTGTTGTAGCTGTTGAAAAAAAGAAGAAATAAATTTAATTTAATACATCAAATGTCAGTTATTTTCTGACAGGAGAATTTAGTTTTCCTGGTGGATGAAGGGAAAACGGGATCATCACATGGGTTGTTGTTAAAAAAGAGTCCTTTGTTGCTATTTGGAGTGAAGATATTGGATTAATTGGAGAAGATGTCAGCTGGGAAGAACAAAGAATGGAGAAGATTCAACTATTTTTATAAATATGAAAATTTCTGATAAATATAATTATGAATAAATATGGATCTTCGTTAGTTAGAATAGTTAATTTAACTCAAGATTAATAAATAAAATGATATGAATATGAACCATAAATTATTTTTATGGGGTTTGGAATTACTTGTGTTGTTTATTATTTTCATTTTGGTCCATTATAATAATAATAATGTGTTTCCTATATATAAACATTAATTTTAATTAAAATGAATAGTGAATGAATTCTTATATATTGCTTATAATTCCACCATATAATTAAATTAACATTTAATAATTATTTAAATTTCTAATATTTAAAAAAAAAATTGTATATTTAGATTTTATGCAATTTAATTTAAAAAAATTCTTTTTTCTTTACTAAAGAGGCCCCCAAATTTGTAAATCTCGAGACCCCGTGGGAGATTTTCCCACTAGGCTTACTGGCCAATCCGCCCCTGAATATGTGCCTTACAAATTTTCTATTATTTTTCGATTCTAAACCTACTCATTAATTAAATGTCAAAGAAACCTATCTTTTTGAAAATATTTTCAGGATATTCACATGTATTTACACCCAAATATAAAAAATGCGCTAACCAATAATCATTCTGGTTTCCTAAGATGATATTTTCATGGTGCAATCAACGCCTTTATATGGATATATTTGTTTAATTTTAAAAATTAAAAATAAATATTTTTTTTCCGACAATATTAAGTAAAAATTGAATTAACTATAAATTATATTCTCAATTTTTTATTTAATAAAAGATAGATTTATGTATTTATGTATATTTTTATTTAAAAAGAAATTCAATTTTATTAAATTTAAATAAATAATTAAAAATATATACTAAAAAACAAATAAGCATATATTTAAAAAAAATTAAAAAAAAATAAATATATATATATATGTATAAATCTATTAACATAAAGGAGAATTGAGGAAAAAAAAATTATTTTTTAAAAATAGGTACATATCACCCTAGAGAAGAGTGAATGCTTAAAAAATTAAACCGGCAGATTTCCAGGAAATCTGCTGATGAAGGTAAAATCCTTCAGTGGGGTTCCCTGAGATCTGTCTCATTTTTTTTCATATGGTTTTAATGAAATTGAGAGCATCACTTCCGAACATGCCTATATTGGTAACGATTGGAATAAACAAGGTGTTGGTGAGGCAAGCATATATGTTATTTTAGGATTTAGGCCTTTTCGATGGCAGAAAATGAAAGGTTGGATTTGGTGAAAAAATCGACACAGGTATAGTCCCAAGCGTTAAAAAAATGTTTCTTAAAATTATTTTTAAAAAAGATTATATAATAAAATTTTGATTATTTAAGATTAATTGCATTTTAGCAAAGCAGTTTAGCAATGCAGTATTTAGTCATCCCCTTTTAAATATAATGATTATTATATACCCATATATGTTATGAAATACGTGTATTTGATTTTATGTTTTATAAAAAAATATTTTTTAGTTAACCTATGCCTAATCCTATTCCAAAATGTGGCAGAACCAAATGAGCTGGATGATTTGCAAAAGGTATCTAAATTTATTAAAATGTAAGCGAATAAGTTATTAAATTTATCATGGCATTAAAATTAACTCGATTTAATTTTTTTTAATTGTTAAAACCTAAATTTTATGGAAAGTGCATATTCAAAAAAAATATTGATTGAAATGTGATTTTAAAAAAAATGAAACCTATTGTTTTCAAATTTTAATTTGATATTACCAATATTAAGCAGATAGCTATTGTGATCATTGAAAATATCGCACATTTCCATCTATTATAATTAATAAAATATTATGTAAATATGCAACAAAATTTTTTAATAAAATTAACGAATATCTTCTTTTTTGTAAAAAGGTTGTGTCCAAAACTTGTTTCATAAGTTTTCAAATTTAAAAAAAGACTAATTTTAAAATTATTTATAAAATTTTAAAAAATTTGGCCATTTTTTTCTCTCATTAAAAAAAAGAATTATCACGTGTTTCTCTATAAAGTTTAAAATTTTTCGAATTAAATTTTTTGATGTTTTGGGAGTAGGGTAAAGAAAGAAATTCAACTTATTTAAATGTAAAATATTCGTATATATATGATGTTCTTTCATGTTTAACATTTAAACTATTTCTAAATAAAATAAAATATAAATCTGTGTCATTTAAACCTGCCAACATTATATGAGAATTTAGCGAAAAAATTTGTTCCTATCAAGTATCCAAAACTATCGGGTAAAAAAACGGTTCCTATCACGCATAAAAATAAAATAAATGCAAAATTAAATGTTTAAAAGCAAATAAAAAATATATCTAATATCTTATAAATCTCAATATTTGATTATTAAACATGATATGATATGTATACTTTACCTAGTTTCCATGGGGCGGGATGAATTTTGTTCATTAGCCAAATTGGAAGGGAGGGTTCTAAGACGGCTATCGATGTAGTTGAACAAAATATTGCACCTTTTTATAATTTTATAATTTCCACAAAATTCACTATACTATTTAGGAAATTTTTTTATAGCATTCATTTTGAAATAGGAAATTTTTACTATATATTGTTTAGTATTTATTATGATTATCTTTATAAAAATATAATAAATGAATATTTCTAAGAACATACCGGTGGCAATTAAGATAAAATTATCCTTAAATAGTTCGATATAATCTGTTTTCATCGTCATGACCTGCAGTTTGTTAATTTTATATTTGGTTTGTGTATAGCCGAAAAATACCAATTAAAAACAGTAAAAATTTAGGGGTTCTACCTAGCTATTTCTTTAAATCATTGCTCACTTTATCTTAAGCCTTGAGAGTAGGGCAAATAATTGGGTTAAACTTATTGATTGATATAAAAAAGGTTAGAGATAATTGTGATTAATCTTCCCCTAACACAGCCATATAGCCACGGAGAGGAAAGGATCCACGGGGGACTGGTCCATCTTAAATTTTTTTGACTCCCTATATATTGCTAAAGAAAAATTATCCCCCAAAAAATATTGGCCCGCAAATATTTCCCCTCCCTATATCACACTTCATGGCTATGGGTTTTCTCTAGAAAAGCATATTAAACCCTTATATTCATTGATTATACCTTACACATTGAAATAATTGATATTTATAAGCCTATATTTTTTTAAATATATTTTTATAAAATTCTTGGATATTATTGAATAGAAAATAGTTTACTTGCGGAGAAACAATAGGTTTGATGATGTAGATGGTAACTCCTATTTATAAATTTTGATTGATTGTCAATTAAATTTATTATTAAATAAATAATTAATAATTAAAAATATGTCTTCAAAAATACCCATTTAAAAAATAGAGAATTTTAATTTATAACATTTTATTGTAGAAGTTATTCTTATACTCTTTTTTTTAATGTGGGCTTTAAAGTAAGTTTATAATTTATTTAATTCTAATAATTATAAAACCATCATTTCAAAATTAATTCTCATGCCCAAGATATTAATTTTATAAATACTAGCTAAGGTCTTTTTAAAACAGTATTTATAATTCGAAAATATTTTAAAATTATATTTGTATAAACCTCCAATTAATATAGTAATGAGAGATATGATCCAAAAAGGCGCACTGTCTCCTATGAAATGGTATATGACACTTCCGAATGGGTAGCCAACTTGTATTGATACCATATAGTTTATTTATTTTATTGTTTAAAATAAAAAGTAATATCTAATTAAAATATTTAAAAAAATACTCATTTACTATTTAAAAACATACATAACATATACTTATTATAATATATTATATCTAAAAATATATGTGGTAACGCATAGATGTAGCCAAAATTTTGCTAGGGGTAATTACTAGCTGCGAGTTTCCCCCATAAATTTTATTGGAGGGCTTTAGGATCATTTATTGCAAACCTGTGGCCGATTATATTTTTCCTAAAATAATTATTTTTTACTTCTTTTTTTATTAAAATACATTTTTCTGAATATTTTGTATTATAGTGATTATTTAAAAAAATTATTAACTTTTATTTATTTTTCTTTTAAATATTCCATGCTACCTTATTTTTTGGGTTGGGGTAGGGAGGGGAACTTAAAATGATATTATAAAGGGGGGAGAACTCTTGTTACACCTATAACGATAATATAAAAAATATTTAATATAAAATTGAATATAAACACTGACAGGGATTTATTTTTCATAATTATATTAAATTCGCTTTTGCAATTAAACAAAATTACCTTCAAATTTTAAATTCACAAATGGATTATGTTAATGCTTAAAATTTTCAAGTCAATTTGTTTTTCTAATTAGAAACCTGATATCCATGATAATCAATCATATATTATAAGTTTTTCTGGAATAAAGATTTATGGAATTTTAGGAAATGTATTTTGGCATGCATGGAAATATATCTACCCTATAAATTTCAGAAAATTGCGCCATATATTTTCTTTCTTTCTTTCTTTCTTTCTTTCTTTCTTTCTTTCTTTCTTTCTTTCTTTCTTTCTTTCTTTCTTTCTTTCTTTCTTTCTTTCTTTCTTTCTTTCTTTCTTTCTTTCTTTCTTTCTTTCTTTCTTTCTTTCTTTCTTTCTTTCTTTCTTTCTTTCTTTCTTTCTTTCTTTCTTTCTTTCTTTCTTTCTTTCATTCTTTCTTTCTTTGTAATTTTTATTTATATGATAAATTAAGAGTGGTTCAAGAGTTAAAGTTAATTTGCCTGAAATATATAGAGTAGGTCCTCTAAAAATGCTTAAATAATTTCTGGTAAAATTAGAATTTTTTAAATTTAAAAACCATGCTCATTAAGGACAAAATTGAGAGATTCCGAATTCTCAAGTGAGGATTGTGGATAAGTCACTATTGCAGAAAAACTTGTAATATATATATGCTATAACAAATGTACCAAATACTCCAAAAGCCATTCCGCTCATGGCTCTTCCCATGTAAACACTCCGTTGTATATCATTTGGAAACTTTTCGGCTATTAATGCTAATCCTTATTTGATATATTTTTTGATATCAAAATAATTCTAATAAAACTCAATTTAATATAGGGTTAAATTATAAAAGATTTCTGGTGGGAAAAATGTTCCAAACTTTGCACAAATTTCCCAGCTTGAATTTTTAGGCCGGCCCATATTATTTTTTTGTGAAAGAAAATCCATAAATTAGTGTTATTCAGTTTTTTTTTAAATTTAAATCCTGGTAAAAATATTTTTTACAAATTGCTTGGCCGTTAGCCTTTGAGTTTCAGACCAGCTGATCTCTGATCCATATTGTAGTGTATTTATGAAAACACGAAATAAAAGTTCATCATTTTAAACGATATATTTAAAAAATGTATTATATAATTGATCTAACTTTATTATTTAAAAATAAAATAAAACTTCATGCACACTCTTTTTAAGATAGACAGTCACATAAGTTTCAAATTATTCATTGAAAATTTAATGTATATCAAAAACTATATATTGTATTTATTCCTAAACCTGATATATTCAGGCATGCCGATGATATACCATGAATGGCACGAGCCATCAGTAAAACTCCGTAGCTTTTCCCAAATGCAAATACTTTATATTATTTATTTTAATAGTTAATATAAAAAGTAGGTATATACTATGTTCGATCACAGCAATAATTACAAAACAATTTGCTCATTGATTTTTCCTAATGATTTCTTTGTTTATAACATATAGACTAAATGAAATTGATAATATTTTATACATTTCGATCACTAAATCTTCTCTAAATTTATTTATATAAACTTAAAAATATAACTATAAACTAAATCATAGATGCCAACTTCATTGGGATTGCTAGATTTCGTCCCTATCAAGAAATTAATTGGTTAAAAAATATAATACATTTATTTTCTAAAAAAAATTAATTCACAGTTTCATATCTTGTTTTTTCTATTTCAGTATATTAAAAGAACGATTTTATTTAACTATATTTTGTTCCTCCTTGTTTTTGGCGCTATTTTTTAACAGACCCTATTAGTAACACAAAGACTAAAATAGTATAGTGTTATGAATCTGTACTTATATAAATAGTAAGGGTGTACGAGAATTCAGTGGCGTCATTGGGAGAATGCTATTGCGGGCTCTAGCCCTGTCCAAATTTTGAAAAATCCCCTCAAAAATTTTGAAAACACAAATCTTAAAGCAAAAATTAAAATTATCTTAATTTTTAAAGAATTTTAGATTTTGAGCTCCGTCAAAAGTGTAGTAATGTCCCTAGGATAATTCTGTTGTATATAAGGTATTGTAAATTCTTAAAAATATCAAGAAATAATATTCGCATCTTATCTAATCAAAAGTGTTATTTTTTGAAAGAGATAACCTAGTATAACAAGATGAAACACGATGCAATTTATCGAAATCTATAAATAAAGTTATTAAATAATATAAATATATTAAAAGGGATCTCTTCAACTCTTGATCTCAACCTAATTGAGTATGGAGAATTTATAGTTACGAAAGCATCACTCCTAAATATATATTTGCATTGAACTATTCTGTTGGAATAAAATAACAACAGATATACTTGTCATTTGTTAATTTTAGAATAAACGCAGTCAATCGAGCTAACAATAACATAACTTAATTTCAAACCCTTTGAAAGTTTTTAATTGATGATTATATAGAAATGGCAAGAGGAGAATAAATGTATTGAAGTTTTTTGTATGTATAAAAAGTATATAATATTTTAAAAGTCTATTTAAAATAATCAGCCCTTCATGTGTTAATTTAAAAAACACTCCATGAGAAATTTAAGATGGCCATTTTAATGAATTTAAAATTCTTGTCATATTTTATGAATTACATTTGTTTATTACTCTAAAGCGAAATTGTTTTATCTGTAAATCCAATAATGAATGTATTATGGATCGTACTAGACTTTCAAAATCTAACAGTACAATATTAATTTAATATCAAAAATATTATTTAAATTGCTTATATTTATTAATTTGATAGCAGGGGAGACTGGGATTAGGTAAACCCCAGTGCTTGACAAACCACTTAATCTCATTTTTAAATTAAATAGACTAGATGGTTTAAATTTTATCCTAATATAGATTTTATTAGTATATGCATCTATAGGCAAAAAATCTTTTAAAATAATTAATTATGAAAAATTTTATTTAAGAAATAAAATTTTGATGTCAAATTGTAAAGATTTTTAAATGACAGAATTATAATTTTTTTAAGTTATATAAACATTTATATATAAATTTTATAGCAAAGTTTTAACCCTCTTTTATAATTTGCGAAAGTTTTATGAGTATTTATTCTCTCTAAATATAATTTCATCATGATTAGTCAATTTAGAGCTAACGCGGTTTGCTAAACCATACATGTCAATTATGGCAGTTAATATAAAAAAAAATTTTCAAAATCTTGGAAAGAAAATTTCATGGCTGTGTTCCTTATTTTTATATATCCAAAATGTTTATTAAATTAACCAAAATTAAGTTTCAATAAATAATTAACTTCTATTAAGTATTATGATATTTTGAATAATAAGATAATAAAATTATTCTATATACATAACATTGTTAATAAATAAAAATGCAGTTCAATTCATTATAGCCTAAAAAATAATGGTTTAGGAAGTCCCCTGCAGAGGTTTGCCTAACCCCGCTATTGGGGATTTATGGACAAAATTTTACTTTTACAAAAATTAACATTTCAAAAATATGATTATGTTTTTAAAAATATTTATAAGGCACCTTTATAGAGTATAGTTATAGGTATTGATTTATATATAGTTCTTCATATTATCTAAATATACACAAGAATTATAGCTAATGCAAAAATTTGTTCGATTAGCCCCAGTTTCTCCTATAAGCAACAGTCATTTTTTTTGATATTTTGAAATCAATAAATGAGTTAAAAACATTGCTGAAAGTTGATAGTTATTTATAAGTTCTTCCTCTGAAGAGCTTAATATATAATTTAATATTTTCGCTTAATTTAGAATTTGATTTGTGCTTTTTGACAAAAGAATTTCTCACAAATTAAAAGAGAAGATATACAGTTCCTTAACAACCAACTATCCTATTTTCGGAAGCATGGCCAAGCAAATAATCAAACGAGAGAAGTTTACAGACAATAGAGTTGAGAATGCTGAGAATGATAACAGATTTATCAAAAAAGGATAAGATAAGAAATACAAATATAAGGGGAAGAAGGTAGCATTAAAACAAAGATCATGGTAAACAGACTTAGATGGTATGGACATACGATAGTTGGCCTAAAAATTATATAGAAAATAAGGTTAAGAGTTTAGAAGTGATGGGTAAAGGAAAGAGAGAAAGACCAAAATTCCAATTTACCGACAAAGTTAAAGCCAATATTAATAGATATAAATTGAATAAAATGAATTGTATATTAACATAAAATGGAAAGAGATATACTGAAGGAGCTTAACACCCGAAAAGGTAAAAGCTAAAAAGGAAAAGAAGTGTATAATTCAAATATTTTAACATATTTATCAATAATATTTCTATAGTAATAAAAATGATTGCTTCAACTCTACATTTAATAGCTCCATACATTAATGCAAAATGTATATTTATAGAGATTGTAAAAAATTTATAAACAAGAACGAATATTATAATGATATACTGGTTAACAAAATTGACAAAAGTCACCTTAGCCATATATAATTATAATTATCATATTGAATCAATTATAGATTATTTACTAATTGAAGAGAGGAATAGTATTACATATCCGGCACACATCGGAATACCATAACCAACTCTTAAAAAATATTTAAATGTATACATAGTGAAATTAAAAATTTTTCAGTCTAAATACATCTAAATTGAATATATTATAATTAAATAAAATGTCCATAAAAATGACATTCTGATGTTAAATTTTCAACTTCAATGCAATATTTATTTTTTTCTTGAAAAACTATCCTTGCATCAATATCTGAATTAGTATTAAATGTATTCCATTTATTTAAACACTTAATTTATAGATAATTAATAGGTCCAGATATGTTTGATGAAAAGTCTAAAAGTCATTTCTTTCAATAAAACTAACTAAACTAGCAAATTTTTGAGAGAAAATAGAAACTGAACCAAATTATTAACTTTAACTTAAGATCAAACCGGAAAATAAAATTTATTGAATAAAATCTTATATAATCTTGAAAAAGAGAATCAATGGTTGAGGTTTTTTTATACAATCTTGAAAAACATTTCTTTTCTTGTATACATAAATTTAATTGTAACACATATAATGAATATTTTTGGTTTGATTGGTACTGTAATGCAATTTAATTATTTAAAACTAACACTCGATTTGATGACTAATGAAATCTTTACAAAACTTCTACTATTAAAATTTGTACAAATAGCCAACGATAAGTTTAGTTTTGAGAGCTAATTTGATTTTAATTTTATCAAACTCTGAAATCCAACCATGACTACTAGTTTATTATAATTATATAAAAAAAAAATTAAACATTAACTCACTTATTTATGAGGGGTGCTATGAGAGGATTAATAAATAATTGTACCAAAGCCTTGGATGCAAACAACATACCTACCCTTGTGTTTTCGTTGATTATGTCCTCTGGAAGCGGATTTTCTACCGTAGTAGAAATATCGATCCATGTTCGTATTGTGTTTAATTTTTTCGATATAGTAGTGACCAAAATATTAGTCTGAGTGTGAGGTGTGACTGGTTTAACGAGTATTGTTTCTAAATAATCTATGTAATATTCTTCATATTCATAATCAGCATGATTGGAAGGTGGTTTGAATTTTAAAATCCCTTGTTTGTTTTTATTGACTAAACTTTTTCCATCATTGAATCTTTGAGCTGATCGTGAGTTGCTCATAGTTAAAAATCGAACAGATTTGCGGTCATATGAAGAAGCATATTTGACAGCAGGTAATGAGATTGGTAGAATGGTAGTATTAGTGGTTTTTCGCTGTTGATAGTAATCCAAATTTCCATGCTCATATTTGTACAATATAGGAGGGATAATGGGTACTTTATAATGAAAAGTTAATAATTATTAATATATAATAATAAATTTTGGATAAAAGATCTTCATGGATATTATTTTATAGTCAATATTAGTTTTATTATTTCTGAATAGGGTAATGTTTTTCTAATTATTAACGTAGATTCACTTGGAGAGACACACCAATAAAATAAGAATTTAAAAATTATACCTATATCTATATCACTATACTTATTTTCAGAAATAGAGAACCACCTACTTTAAACCTTCTTACTACCTCCCAAAATTTAGCTACTTTACGGAATCCCGACAACATTGGAAATGAAGTTGTTACTAAATAACTTCAAGAAAAAGAAGAAGAAATTGCGAAGGAATGTTCTTCCAATATTAATACAATAATATAAAAATATCGCGTAAATTAAGTTTTACCTACTACTGTCAATAGCATGTTATCCAACATCATAGTCAAGAATACCAATAAAACTACGAGTTTAATGTGAGGGTCGACCCCTACATCCTCATCGCGGGATAATAAATTGTGTTTCAGCAAGTAGGAATGGGTATATTGCAATACTTTTAATAACCTTTGCATATTGAAAAATTTATAAATCAAACAAAGGGGATCGAATATTTTTTAATTCATTTTGCATATCATAGCTAGAGATGCAATCTCACATTTATCTATTTTTGATTATTTAATATTTTTTATTATCGAGTTGTATTGTAGTAATGTTATAAAAAAATTAAATATCAACAGTGATTTGTTTTAAAATGCAAAAATAAATAAATAAGGCTGCCAAAGATTATAATCATACTTTTAAATCTATATTTAAAAAATATGAGTATACTAATAATAACTATCTAATAAAGATAATTAGTAAATCTCAAAAAATATTGATATTATTTAAACTTTTACATTTATTAACAAGTTTATATTTATATCGGAGACCTATAGGGGCCTAGACTAAAGCCTTGCCTGGCCCAAAATGTTATTAAAAAAAACATTTTGAAAAATAAGGGCAGTGTCAATTTCAAAAATATAAGCTTAAATTATATTAATTATATAAAATTATATAATGGAGAAGTTAATAATTTAGTGTTCATATTTAAAATTTCCCTTTGAAACAATTTGCAAAATACATCGAAAATTATTCAAAATAACGAAATTTTAAAAATTTTGGACTGGACTGAAAAATGGTCAAAAACTAAAATCAGGCGTGGGACATAAAATTTCTAGAAAATACAGTCGGGCTTGAAAATAATTTTTTTTCACATCATACCCTTAAATACTTCTGCAGATCTCTGGTTTATTTATATATTGAAATAAATCCAGAATTTTATTTTAGGGTGGCCATTCAAAAACTCATTAGATTGAGGGCATCGCCCACATGCATTATTGGAGTTAAACACAATTTTCCTAGCGAAGCCCACTTAGTGCGATTTACTTTAGATAATACTCTAAGATAACACTATAATTAAAATAAATTTTTATATATATTTTCACTTTCTTTATTACATTAAATATTTATAAACCAATTAATATCATGAAACTATTAATATTATTATAATATAAGAGACTCATGATAATAAAATTAAATTATAAAAAGGAGAGGTATAACCTTTTAGGATTGAATTTTTTTTCGGTAGAATTTTCCTATATATTTCAAAAAAGACCTAACCATTTAACCAACTAAAACCGTGTCATGGTTATTTATTTTCAAATTAGATTAAATAAACACACCTGATTTAGACCTCTTAAACCATGGTCTCTTTTTTTCCTGAAACTAGAGTATTTTTTCTTGAACAAGCCTTTAGGCAGGTCCAGGAATTTTAGACATTTTATGATTTTCCTCAAAATAAAAGTAAAAAATATTAAATTAGTTCCAAATTGTATTTATTGTTTTTAGACTTAATCCATAAATATGCAACTGTCCTAACAGATTGGAAGTAGTGTTAGATAAATAAACCTTTGTAATTTTTCTACATGTAGAGTAGACTGGGGTTAGGTAAATCCCGGGGCTTGGCAAACCACTTAATCTCATTTTAAAATTAAATACACCAGAAGGTTAAAATTTATCCTAATATAGTTTCTATTAGTTTACAAATTTTAATTTTTATTAAAATATATAATCATTTATGTGTGAATTATTATTTATTGAGCCCATTTTTAAAAACGGCTAATTCAATATTTTAGCCAGAAAAATATTGTCTAAGGCCTCGAGATTTCGTTAATAGATGTTCAATTTAAACACTCTTCTATAATTTGGGTAAGTTTTATAGTATTTATTATGTCTAGATATCATTTCAATCATGATTTGACAATTTAGAGCTAGCGGGGCTTGCTACCATACACATCAATTATGACAGTTAATAATGAAAAAAATTTTAAAATCTTGAAAAGGTAATTTCATGGCTGTTTATGATTGGTATTTAGGATTTATGCTAAGAAGTCATAATCTCTCCTTAAGATCCTTATTTTTTTATATCCAAAATATTTATTAAATTATCCAAAATTAAGTTTCAATTTTTATATATAATTAGCTTTAATTAAGTATTATGATATTTTGAACATAACAACAATAAAATTTTACTATACGTATCACTAAATAAAAATGCATTCCAATATATTATGGCCTAAAAAAACCAATGGTTTAGGAAACCCCTCGAAGTGGTTTACCTGACTCCGTATTGGGGCTTGTTGGACAAAATTTTCACTTTTACAAAAAATAAAATTTAAAAAAAATCATTATATTCTTAAAATTTTTTAAAAGGCACCTTTATAGAGCATAGTATTAGGTATCTCATATATTATTTTTCATATTATTTTAAAAAAACCAAGAGCTATAGTCAATTTGTAAAAGTCGGTTTGACTAACCCCAGTCTCTCCTACAAATAGTTCTCACAGCACAACAACTCCATGGATTGGCTCAACTTTCCCCGGGTATGGCTTATAATTTATCATTGTATTCGTAAAATATGTGGTGTGATGCCTTTTTATAATTATAACAATGCAAAAATAGGCTAAGTTGGAACAAAATGAGAAAATATTTAAAATTAACACGTATTTGAGTTTTCTCTTTGCTCGTAATTCCCTGACTGGTCTTCTCTAAACCATGTGTTTTAGGCAGAGCTGTACTGATACCGAATATCAGTATCACCTGATACTTATGATATTGGCCGGCATCGGTCAATACTTTTTATCTTTTGGTAATAGCATAAGCTGATAAATAAAATTTAGGTATCCTGATTGATATTTTTTATCCTTATTATAAATGAAGTTAGATACAAATGTATAAATATAATGTACTACACCCTATTTTTTTTATAGACAGAGAAATAAAAATATTAAATATTATCTAAATCCAGGTCTTATCTTCTTTTTTTTCAAAAATTATTATTAGTTTTTAGACCATTTTTGATTTTAAGTTGTCCCTCTCTTATTCTTCCTGTTTTTTCGGACTATTTAATATTTTTATTTATTTTCCTAAAAAATGATAACTTTATTATATTTTACGTCATGTTGTCTATCAAATTCAAAATCATAATTTTAAATTTTATTCATATTTTTTTTAAATTCTTCTAAATTTTACCTTTTAAATTAAAACAAATTTTAAATGTTATAATTATTTTAAAAGTTAAGAAGAAAATGAATCAATGGCAGAATGTCTGTTCTGCAAGAGGTGAGATGGTTAAACCAAGGGCACGAATATTACATCTAATTTAAAAAAAAACACCTTAAATGCCGATATTTTTCAGAAAATAAAAAATAAATTGAAAAAGAAAACACTATAAAAATTACCCGAAATTATATATTTCAGTAAATGCTTGGGAAGTGTTTGCAAATAGAAGCCAAATGGAATATAAATACTGCTATTAAAAATCAGTAAATTAAACGGAGAAATAATTCGCCTTAACTGTGAACTATATCGAGACTATCTTAAATGATTAATGGGTGGTGTGCCCTATGTATTATATAATATATGTTTTAAAAAATGTAATTTTCAGGCTAATACAGGCATATCAGATTTTCCCAATACACGGTTGCATTGGGGTCTGGGTTTTAGGTATTTTGAATTTGTATTAGAGATCTGCAATGCTTAGCCCGTTATCTAAGGACCTGGTCGGTTACGCCTGAAAAATTTATTTGAGCGGGTCAAGAATTAATTGGCCGGTGTAGGGATGGGCGTGCAAAAAGTAGAGATGCCCGGTACACTTAATAAATAATTGAAAGAAATTATTTCTAAAACCTAATTTTGTTAAAATAATACATTTTATTTAACTTATAATTTTAATGATTAAATGACTTGTTACTATGATCATTTTTCCCACATTTTGTGTTTATTGTGATAATAAGAAAATCATGAAACCAAATCTCCTCATCACTATTGGTTATTTGGAGTATATGTTTGGATTTTAAAAAGCCGGGCAGGGCAACCTTAGTAAAAAAAAATTAGAAACGGGTTGGGTACAAATTTGGACGGGTCGGGTTTAAATTTTTTCCCATTTGCAGACTTCTAATTTGTATTACCTATATATTTCTATAATTTTTTTTATTATTTACGAATTCTACTAACTAAGTTATGCCAAACAAAATAAATTATCCGTTAATTTTTTTTTAAACTTTCAAAATTAGTTTCGTTAATAATTGTAAATATCGAGACAAGCTAAATCCAATACTTAAATTATTTTTTAAATTTTAAAATATATCATGTGTTATCTAATATTAAAAAACAGTTTAGATCGTTAGATGGATAATATATAACAATTTCAAGCATTAATTAACATGACACAAAAAAATTTATATTGCTTTTAATAATAACAACATTAATGAAAAATTAAAAAAAATTAAATTTTAGAGATTTATAAAAAATATTATATAAAAATTAAGTGTACAATTATAAACTATGATCCTAAAAAAATGGTCAAAAATTTATTGTCTGATGCAATAGACCTCATGATTTTTTTAAAATACATAATTTGAGTTAACATTTAAGAATGACCAGTTTCATTATGTTGAGAAAACTTGATAGATAAAAAGACAAAAAGCCAATCAATATCTGAATTCTGAATATTTTTTTTGACTTTAATAAATACCAATTACTTAATTTCGAAAATTAAGCGCTCTTAAAATCATAACGTTTTCTCGATAGGAAAAATTATGAAAAAAAATAATATAAATTAAGGTTTCTTCATTGGTGATAAAATTGCCTGAAATTTATAGGGCGGGTATTCTACACATTTTGGAAGCATTTCCGGCAAAACAGTTCTTTAAATTTAATAAAATATACTCAATTAATGATTTAAAATGCAAAACTTGCTGGGCATGTCGGGAAAACCTATTAAACTATCGCCTTACCCAAAAATTATATCTTACATGTAGAGGGTCAATTAGTCAATATGTTATTTTTTAAAATTTAAATCATTTTTTGAACTTGTTTTTTTTTAAAATTTAATTTAATGGGAAATGTATTCCAGCATGTTTAAAGTATCTATCATGAGAATTTCAGACAATTTTGCTATGAACTTAATTTAATTTATGCTTATTTTTCCGTAGATTTATTTAAAATATAAATTATAAATAACCCAAAAATT